AAAAGCCGGAAGTGGCGCTGTGGCTCAAGTGGTAGAGTGCTAGCCTTGAGCTGAAGAGCTGAGGGACAGCGCCCAGGCCCAGAGTTCAGGCCCCATGACGGGACCCAAAGAAAAAAAGAAAAAAGAAGTAGCTCTGAGGGTAACAATGTTCAATAGGAAATGTACTCATTACCTTACTCATGTAAAAAAAAAAAAAGTGCGTTTGTGTGTATAGGGGGAGGGGTACTGCTAATACTTGAACCACACATTCAGCCTCCTTTGCTTCAGTTATTTATCAGGTATTATCCAGTGTTTTTGTCAGGGCTAGTCTGAGACCATCATCCTTCAACCCTCCACTTCCTACAGATGTGCACTATTATACACAGTCTGTTTGTTGAGACAGAGCCTTACTTTTCTTCCTAGACTGCTTCAAATCTTGATTCCCCTATCTCCATCTCCTAAGTAGCTGATGGTACAGATAAAGGCCACTACTCTAGGTGAGTTCATTTTTTTTAGGGCTAAATAATATTTAGTTTATGGATCATAGTTGTTGTTTGTTTTTTGTCGGTAGTGGGGCCTGAACTCTGGGCCTGGGCATTGTCCCTCAGCTCTTCAACTCAAAGCGAGCGCTCTACCACTTGAGCTACAGCGCCACTATGGATCATAGTTGTTTTGTACTCATGACTCAATAAACATTTAGTTGTATTCACTTTTGGCTGCGTGGATAGAGCTGCTGTTCATATCCATGTACATGCAGGTTTTGTGTAAATGTGTCCTTTTAGTTCTGTTGGGTGTACACATAGGAATACAATTACTGAGGCATATGATTACCCCATGTAGAAAATTTTCTTTGTTCTTTTTTCTTTTTTCTATGTCAGTCCTGGGGCTAAAACTCAGGCCTAGGGACGTCCCTGAGCTCCTTTGCTCAAAGCTAGCTCTTTACCACTTGAGTCACAGCTCCACTTCTAGTTTTTTTGGTGTTTAATTGGAGATAAGAGTCTCATAAACCAGGCGTCAGTGGCTCATGCCTGTAATCCTAACTACTCAGAAGGCTGAGATCTGAGGATTGCAGTTCAAAGGCAGCCCAAGCAGGATGGTCCATGAGACTCTTATCTCCAATAAACCACCAGAAAACCAGAAGTGGCACTGTGGCTCAAGTGGTAGAACACTAGCCTTGAGCTAAAGAGCTGAGGGACAGTGCCCAGACCCCAGAGTTCAAGCCCCACAACCAACAAAAAAATAAATACATAAAAGAGTCTCACAGACTTTCCTGTGCTTCAAACTTTGGTCCTCAGATCTCAGATTCCTAAATAACTATTACATAATTTTCTTTTTCTTCTTTTTTCCTTTTTGAGACAGAAGGGTTTTTTTAGGTTTTTTTTGCTGGTTGTGGGGCCTGAACTCTGGGTCTGGGTGTTGTCCCTCAGCTTTCAGCTCAAGGCTAGCACTCTACCACTTGAGCCACAGCACCACTTCTGGTTTTCTAGTG